TTTCAAGGGTGTGGGTGCCGGGGAAGGGAGATTCGCTTGTCTACACACACATATGTACCCTTAATGTGGGTGCCGGGGAAGCAGTAGTGTCAGAGCAATAACGTCAAACCTGAAACTTGAAACTTGAAACTTGAAACTTGAAACTTGAAACTTGAAATTTCAGTTGAATTCAAGTTTCAAGTTAGACACTACTGATATTTTCAAAACATTTCTCTGTATAGATCTATCAACTAACTATTCTATATGTTTTGAAGCATAGGAATTTTCTTTTGATGTGTAACAGAGTTAGAATGATCGAGCACAATCTATGAGAATTCACTGATACTCCAAAAACACAAGTATGAGAGAAAAGAAAAAGCCTACTTACTTCGATTCAAATTTTGCAGTGTCTTTTGTAAGCCTTTGCAACCTTCTTTTTATTATAAACCGATGAAAATATTATTTTTACAACGTTTTGTGTTCTGCTTATCCGATAAGATTCCTGCGTGGTTACTTGCACGGAAGAAAAAAGCCCTCTAGATAAAATGCAAAGCTCATGAGTAAGAAAAAAAATCACTGATGTAAATAAATGGCATCTATAATTATACCAAACTAACAAACCAGTGAAAAGAATTATGAAAAATATATTGTTGAAAACATTGTTTGATGCATTGATACAAAAGAATGCAAACAGTGTATAGTCATTGTTCCGATGCAGAAATAACTATGTTGATCCTACTTTAGAAAATGAATATTTTAATTTCTTTAAGAAATCAAACTCAAATTGATATAAACAAATTTACATTTAAAAATACTAAACAACAACCCTATCGGATATAAATAATAAGAGAAGATATTCTTGTTTTGTTTCATGATTCTATAGGGCAATGAAGTTTAGAGAACTAATATTTATCAAAATAATCTTCAATAAGCGACAATACTAATACAAACTTGTAATATATTCCTTCTGTTTTCTGTGTTAATATCATATGTTCTATGCTCTCTTATAGATCCGAGCAATGATTCTGATAGATAAGCATTGTTTTCATACTTGTATTCATAGACTTCAGTATTCTTATATGTATTCGTTGATACTTTGTTGTTAGATGAGTATGATTGAAGGAGGAACAGTTGCCTGACAGATATTGGATCATTAGGCAGTTTGTTCTCGCTTCATGGCCACCGTAAAAGTACTTTCTATCAAATCATTTTCAGATTTTATCATTTCAAAAAACAAATATCAAGCAACTTCAGAATGAAAAGAAAATTCATATAAAACATTGTTTTTCTTGATCTAAACAATTCGATATCTTACAACCCTTCTCGATATTTATTAATAATTTTTCAAATATTTCTTTTTCTCATCTTAGTATCATCGGCGTTGAAGGAAAAATACCTCGCTAAATGCCAATTTTGGTTCGATGATGCATCTACATTAAACACAATAAGATCATGAGTTGTTTTCATCTTCGCATGAAAAATAAAATCAAGAATATCTTCATTGAAATAAAATTAACTTGATCAACGATTGAAAAAATTTGTCAAGCAATTCAAAATAATGCTAATCCAGTTCTAAAAAGTTTCATTTCAATCAAATGCTGATCTGATTGATCAAATAAATAATTCTCAATGTTCATTTTAGCACCGAGAAGGATACATGTTCCATAATCAATAAGTAACATGGATGTTGCTGTCAAACTGTAAAAGTACAGCATGCACTGGCATATTGTGTCACCATTCATTTCATGTTAATTCGACGACAATATTAAATGTCAAAAGAATTGCATATTAATTGAATAAAAAGAAAAGAATAATTAACTTACTTTCAAATTCTTGATTATAGTTTTTTTTCTAATTTTCCTTTTATGTTTCTTTGTAGATACTACTTTAAAAAATGCCTGAAGCACTTGATGAATGTCAACACGAGTCCTGTATGAAACCATTCAACGGTAGATCAATACGTACTTATGCATGTGCCCATCACTGTAGAAAAAGGCTTTGTATAAAACACTTAAATGAGCATGAACAATTGATTGAAGAACAAACTGAATCTAAAACACAATTGAAACAAGCATGGGATGATTATTTCAAAGTAGTGAATATAGATACAATTGAAAAACAAATTCAACTTTTACAGCAGAAACTTCAAATTTGTTGTGGTTTAAGCGATATAACTGAAAAATTATTATTACTAAGTGATTCTAACAGTTCAATCGAAAATAATCAAAACATGAAATCAACTATTGAAATGCTACAAAAATATATGCGACTAGAAAATCAATCAAAACCAATTACTTGTAAGCTATTCTATTGAAAACAAAGAAAAAATAAAAATAACTTTTATTTAGATGAGATCGATCCGAAAAACGAATCAGAAACAGAAGATGAGGCAGATAATGAATCATGTATCAATTTAAGTGAAATATATTCCATAGACAAACATATTATAAGCGAGATCTTGGCCGAAATACAAGGTACAGATATGTTAACAGATCTTGAAAATATGGCTGCAATATAATTGAATTATCTTGTACCTAAGATCTGTAATTAGATCTTGGGTGCAGATTTGTAAAATCTTGATAACAGAGGCACTCAATACTGTTTGACCATGTCTTTTCACTGCTGTCAACGCTAATAAGAATCTTAATAAGGATTAAATATAAAGTATTCTAATTAGAACAAGAAATTTTCAAGATAAAAATAGTTTTTCGCGGATTAGGGATGCAATATTTACAGTAACTGTACGACTCGATTAAAAACCCTGACATATTAGAAGATCACGGAATGATGGAGGATTAAAAGTTTGTTTCTTTTGATTTAATAGTTTTTCAAATACTTTATTTCCCCCCTATTTTCCAAAAATTCAATTTATTATCTCTTGTATCGTTGAGTCTCGGTGTCTGAGTGGTTAAGTTCTTTGGGATTTATTCCAAAAAATACGATGTTCGAGTTTAGGCACCTATGCGACATAAAATAAGTCTGGAAAAGTGATTATTATACTGTTTATTTTCGATCGGTCGCCCAACAGTATAAATTCTTGCATGTATCAGTTAGTATGGCGAGCTCAAGTGATTGATTCATGCTGTCTTTTTATGCAATGGGGGAAATGTATTTTCGCCAATAGGGAAGTTCGCCAATCGTTTGATTTCGCCAATTGTAGTTTCGCCAATTGGCGAATATCCACTAGCACTGTGCCAATCGACGAACATAGTCATACGAAAGTACTTGAATTATTGGCAAATGTCACACTGGTAATTCGCTGGAAATTTGCTAATGGAAAATATACAATTGGCGAACTTCACTATTGGCGAAATTACATAGACTCATGCAATGCTACTGTTAGTATAATTTGCGAGACGAACATCTACATGGTGAAAATGTTGTGGTACAACATTCTATTTACATCAAAAGAATGTTGAACAGTAGCATATTCTTCATTTTCTTTCATTCCCTGCTAGCAGTGTGTTAACTATTGACGATCGTTGAATAAAATTGGAAGACTTTTCCTAACTAATTTATTATGTTTTTAAAGAAAACGAACTATTTCATATTTTATAGCATACGCTTGTATGATTGATGAATTATCAATATAGACAATCATTGATGATATTCAATGGCACAGACTTCATAGAACCATAATAGATTGCCATACTCTCTAAAAGCTTTTGTATAATTAGACATTAAGAGACACTGAGTATTTTAATCTTTCGTGGATTTTACTCGAGATATATAATATGCTGATAGATAAGGAAAATTTTAATCTCATCAGAAATCCAAGGTTAAATACTTCTGCCAATAATAACATTGATGTTTCAATCCTAAAAACAAAACTTCTATTTCACTTATTTTTAAATATACTGAAAGATATTAGTTAACATGAATATTTAGATGGAAGTTCTACGGTTACAACGAATAACGGAGGTGAAACACGACAAGCAATGGTCTTTGATTGCATAAGTAAGTATATTAATATATTCCAATGTGAATCTATAAAGCTTTTCATTTTTATTATTCATTTAAAAGATACTACACTTGATTCAAGCTCAATCGGAACACAAAATTCGAATGGATTAAAGGATCAAGAGGACGACAAATGTAAGCTCATGTACTCTTGTTACAAAAGAAAAATTATTATAAATATTCACAATTTGTTAATAATATAAATTCAGCTATGTATGTTATTTTCTGTTTAGTTAAGATTTTAGACTCAAAAACTATGTCTGATGGAGATATTTCACATGATTTACTCAATCATAATGAAGGAAAAGGTTTGCTACAGAATTCGTACATACGAAACCATTTTTATTTAACCGAAATATTATAATTAGATCAAGTGCCAGCAGTCAGCAGAACTCTATCCATACACTGTACAACTCATGTTGGATCTGATCTAACCGATGCCTGCCCTGAAAGCAGTATTCAGAACACATGTGAGTCATATTTTCATGGATAAAATGGTATATACTTTATCTTACTATCTAGATCCACTGGTATATGAATTCGAGGGAATTCCAAATGATTCTGGTTTTAAACAAGTTGCTTTAGAAAGATCAGATAGTGATTCATCTTCCGACGATGCATCTTCTAAAAATCGATCCACTACTCCCGAATTAGAACGGCAATCCAGTGAAGAGAGTTGCTATTAAAATAATGCTTGCGATGCATACTAAACAATATATTTAAATTATTTCGTCAAGAATAAAAAAAATTAATACTTTCCTTATTAACTCTATTTTTTTGTTCAAAACAAATTGTCTTTGCCTTCTTAAAAATATATTAAGAACTTCTTTATCTGCTTGAAAATCTATGTTGCTTCACATTCATTCGATACCTTGAGAGATTTTAAAAGTATATTCACTCCAGGTTAAGCTATATGAACATTGGCCTTGATCTATTGTTCTTGTTGCATAATGATATTTGTATTTATAGCCATGAATATTTTCTATTGTGTATTTTATAGTGCGCTATATTATTATAAAGTTAGCATCACCACTTCTCTCTATTTGATCTGGTTGTTTTCACTTGAATATATCATGATACAAAGACAAGTTTATTCATTGATATTTCAATATGTGAAGACAACCAGTATTAATTATGAAACATGCCAGTGTAAGGGTTCATTTTCGAGCCGTAAAATCAGGAGATATACTCAGGTCGAATAGGTACGGTCGTTGACAGTCGTGCGCGAAGTCTGCAATCGTTGGTTTGACTCACAGGCGACTCAAATATATATATATATATATATATATGGAAAATATCTCACAAAGTTACTAAGCATTCTTCAAGTCTTTATCATCGTGCTAGATCATTATGACTGATTTGAAATTATAATTATTCTTACATCTCGGCGCTTCTATGATGTTTCATAGAATTCGAGTCATTTTTATAAATCAACAAACGGAATAAGACAATAACCTCTTTTCTTTTGTAATATCTTGAGAATTATCTGGTAACTTTTTTCCAATATTATAATACACCCCAACTGAACAATCAAAGTCAGCTCAGCATTTATACTGTAACGCATAGTCGTCGACACTAAGAAACTCTTGGGGGAAAAGATCCTCTCATGTCGGAGCTTACCGGGATGGGTGGGGTATGCAAGGCGGCACCTTCCCCTACCTTAGGAATTTATTCTTGTTTTGCTCTCGCGCTTTTCGAATTCAATTACTCGATGTTTCTTGAGGGCGTTAGTGAACGAAACATCTGTAACATTTTCACTACTATAAACTTAGAAGGGTTAAGATCTAGAAAATTTTTCTCGTTGAAGTACTTGCGCGCTTCTTCCTCCCCTACTGTCATGGATAGAGATTTCGTAACAAAAACAAAAAGCTCAAAAATATGGGCACAAGGTATTCTATTTGATAGGACATTGAGCAAGACTAAAGTAAAGTGAAATAGGATTGTTTCTATTTTGATACGTGTAAAAAACATGCTTATACGCGAACATACGTTGTACGAACTGCGGTTTGATAGAAATTTCAAGTAATAAATCGAACACTTTTCTGTTTGATGGTTGTTTATACGATCAAATTTCTTCTGACCATTTGATAAAATCAATCGCTTTTGAAGCAGAACTAAAATTTTTACATGAGGCATTCAATATAGCTAGATCATATTGAAATTTAATCATAATATAAATAGCATAGATATTTTAGTCTTTTTGTTCTAAGTTTAAACTTGATCTATTGTCGTGAATAAAATTCAAGAAAATATAACCAATACGACAATAATATATCAAGAAAAACCTTTTAAATTGGCCAGCAAACAAAAGTATTATATCGATCACGAAAATCTGATTGGGACACAAGCGATTCTTCGTGGTACGAACATCAATGTGACCCGAATATTTTTAATTTTTAGTAATTTATTATACGAAACCTCCGGTTCTAATAAAATTTAAATGATTCATTCATAATTAGCATCTGTAACTCTATTTGTTTTGATCTTAAGTCTAGTTTAATCGTTTTCTTATATAATACTACGCATTATTTGCTTTTCAGTTCGACTTTAGACTGTATACACGTGGTTATTTTCAAAAATGTTTTTTATATAAAAAGGTGACAATGGTTTCATAGAAAGTAATCTATATTGCGCATTTCGTTACGCTGACTAATAGATTTTACTTGAACTAAAACAAACAAGGCGAAAAAAGCAGCTACCTTTACTTTTGTTCTCAAAACTTTTCTTCGTTGAGTAGTAAAGAGGACGAAATTTCGCAACATTTTTTTCTTTTCCAGTGATGAATCGAGTAAATAAATATGACGTACGACGTCAGGGCGGTGTTTTTGTTTCAAAATTGAAGGTAACGAAAAATAAATATGAGAATGTCGTTCATGTTATAAAGTAAAAAATGTTCTGCTATCTTTTAGAATGAACAACGAAGATAAATATATTGATTTGAATGCAAAGGGCAGTAAGTCTAATAAAACCTGCCTAATAGCCAATGACTTAATTTGAGATATCGATCTATTCGATTGAAAAATGTTAGAAAAGCAAGCATTACATCAGTGAATAATATGGATGACTCATTTGCCACTTGAATTCGTTCGTTTTTATTGATTTGAGATGAAGCCAGAAAGCTTAGATACAATTGAGTCAATGTCTCTCAATATGTCGAATAGCAAATTTTTATACGGAAATCGCAAAACAAAAACGATATTTGCATATTTCTAAGAGCAAAGCTCGATCAGTTACAGGAACAGCCATATCAACTGTAGCCAATTAGATTGGTTCTATCGGATATTTCATAGAATATTTATTGTTATCTATAGACAATGTACCTGTGGTATCGAAAACATGGCTGGTTGATGATAATATTAGTACGGACACAAATCTAGAAAAAGAATTAGAAGGTCAGTATCATCGGCGCGTACTTGCACACTATTTATATATGTTTATTTGTTTCTACAGACAAAAAAAAACAATGTGCTAACGAATTTAATCAATTGTGTTCTGATACAGGTGATTACTTTGATAAGCTCACGCAAAGTACTTGCCATAACATTGATCAACCAACTGAAAATCCAGTAAATTCTTCTGTTGATGTTATCGTTAGCAATGATCCATGCTCAGCAAGTGCAGCTAGTTTTCTAGATGCAAGTATGTTGTAACTCTGTTTTCACTGATGTTTTCAGCTTTTTCTAACTTTATCTTGATTACCATTAGACATAATCTATTTGGGGGCCATACATGCAATGTAGAAAGTATAGTTGAAATTAGTAAAAATGAATTAAATTAATATTTATTATGATTGATTTTATTCTTTTATGTTAGTCCCCGAACACGCTGCGAGATGATATTTTTTTTCCATATTCTTACCCTATGTGCTTTTATTTCACATTGGCTTTGCATTTACATATCTCTATCTCATATTAATTCTACTTTAAAATACTCGATTTCACCATCTAACGGTCAATTGAAATGAAAAACCGTCGTATTGCCTTAGAGAATGCAACTCGGCCAAATGAGAGTACGATTACTAGACCCTTGATGCTATTCTCATAAAGTTACTGTTATCAATCTTTAAAACTTTTAGACTAGCTTTTCATCGTAACTCTTATCCATTATACACACATTACACATTAGTTACATGCTTATATTCTTCTTGATAAGATCTTATACATATAGCTTCCAGAAGTATTAACACCGGAATAGTAGAAAATTTACTTCACTTGTATATAAGTATGTAAATGTATGTTCGATTTAAAGCTTATAGCCTATTCATAAAGCATTATAATTATTAATCTTTAAAATCTTCTTTCGATCTTACCAGGAGTTAATTTGTTGATGTACATATTGCATCCAATTTTGAACATTTTTCGTGTCTATATGGCAAGTGATTTTCGTCGAAAAAATATAAGAACAGACATCCCAAAGTTGAAAGACTGCTTGGGTAATATACGGTTGTCCTTCGGGGTAAGTTAACTCATCGTCAGTCATTCATTTTCCGATTTTATTTAGCCAATTTCAGAACTTGCCGATGGTCAAGTTGAATGTACAATAGTATTCAAAGGCCCTAATGAGCAGTTTTATTATGCTCCGTATGCATTCGTTCGTGGCTGTGATAAAGGTTATGAATTTGAAAATCCAACTATTTTTGATTTGAAAGAAGACGCAACTATCGAAAACAATTTTGTCTCGTAATTCAATAATCTTACATTTTCGTGTCTGATTTTCTTTTCTTTTAAATTTCAGCCTCGAAATGGTTATTTGTAAATTAAGAAATAACATGTTCGAATGTGAAGATGAAAAAAACAATGAAACATGTCAAATTAAACGATTTCTTTGCGGTATTATAAATATTTTGGCATTGCCTCGACCATTACAATATTTTTTTTTTAATGTCTACAGGTACTCTAGTTCAAATCAAAGATGAATTTTCATCATTGTGGGAAAAAAATGGCAAGCTAAAGACAAAAAAAACCAAACCTATAACACCGACGAAATTAGCAAAACTTGTCGAATTATATACAGCATATATCATGATTCGTCGTACTCGTTTTGATCCTGTTGAAAACAAATTTGTGCCAGAACCCGAAATTTTATTTTGTTCAAATGCTTTCACACCGAGTAAATTGAAAATTATCCTCATTTATATAGTGGTTATTTGAGAGTATTCTTCTTAATTTAGAAAATAGCTCCGTTCAATCCCAATATTATGATTACAGCGCAAATAAATTAATAATTACAAAAGTCATGCAATCAAGAGCTGACCCACGTGAAAGTAGCCACCAATTTAATGTACATGTATCATATGTTGTAAGTTATGATTATCTGTTTTATGCTGTCACTAATATATTCTGTGTTCAAAAGATTCCACCGTTGTATGAATGTACACAATTAAGAAACAAATGCATAAAAGTCGATATACTTACTGGTAGTAAACAAGAGTCACAAATGCATCCAAATTATAAATTCATGGCCGATGAAGAGGTCACTGATTCACTATATATTCGCGCTGATAAATATGAATCCATGTAAATATTTCTCTAATGGTTGGTTATTGCTTCTCCTTGAGAAACATGACTACCAGAAAGAATATCATATTTTAAGACAGCGAATAGATTTTAAAGAACTATATAAATTAAAAAAAGACAATTCTTCACGATAAATTAACTCTCATAGCTATCAATTGTTGTCGCATTCTTTCTGGATGCTATATCTGCAAATATTATTTTTCAGTGCAACATTCAAAATTGTTAATACCACACGAAATCAATGCAATGGTAGTTACGTAAAAAATACAGATCTACCAGTTTCACATTATAACGGTTCAGATTCAAGTACGTATAATTTTTTCTTCGATGTGAATGTTCATCGGTACTAGATTTTACCATCTATTTACAGTGATTCAAGCGGTTTCATTCAATGAGCCGAGTATGAATAGTTTTCGCGTACGGTTGCAACTATGTGATTATACTGATCAGACTATAACTCCATATCCATATTCAACTGTTCAATCGACGTTAGTGGTCGACGGTAATTTGTGTTTTGGTTAACGCATAGCATATAAAATATGAATTCTAACTATAGATTTTGTCTCTTCTGAACGATCTGTTACGTCTTCGTCACCAGCCAACGAAAATGTAATCATTGAAAATATCTTTGAATCATCAGTAACTGATAAGCGATCATTAGAAAAAGAAGCGCACGAACGTACTGGGTGAGTTTTAATACTTCTTATTGATAGCATATTAAATGATAATATTTTTCTTTTTTTCAGTTCGCCTTTATTGAAAACTCCAAAAATACATAATTCAAGTGCCTGTGATAGTTGATCTAATCAACTTAAAACAAAACTTTCTTTTTGAAACAAAACATAACCAATACATCATTGACCTATGGTCATAAAGCATATTCAATATCATTTAATTAAATTAAATTAAATATAGTTAAACTATCATTATTTGCAATTTTTTCTTTTGCATTCGTGGACAATGCTGTGCTGAAATGCCATTGCATTTTATACATGCTGACAAATCCGAAATAAATATTAGTAAATCCTTCCTTGCAGTTGATCACAGCCAAAATCAAGCATTAGAATAAACCATCATTTCTCTGTATTTTAGATAAACAAAACTCGACTCGAATTTCGTAGTGTATACATTGAAGGATTTCTTATTTTAGGATTTTGCATGCCACGTGTTTGCTCCGTTAAAAAATCTATAAATCTTTACTACTGTTCAAATCAACATTGAAAAAATTCAATCTTCACTTTGCAATACTCCTAACTACTCGGACATTTGAATTAGAAAGAGATAGGCTAACAGAAACAATAAAGCAGTTTGCATATTTAATGCGGTGCGAAGCACAGCATTTATGTAGTCCGTCGCGAGTTTTTTTTATTTTTTAATGCGATGCGAAGCATAGCATTTATGTAGTCCTTCGAGGATTTTTTTTTCTTTTACTTTCTCGACGTACGCATCACATCTCGTCGTTTTCCGTCGCAATGATCTCGTGAACAGAAAATCGTAGAAAACTCGTTGAAACGTGAGATCGAAGTATCAAGATCGAACTAAGAACATCTGTTTTCGAATGTTTAAACTGAAGTTCCGTTCACTCACAAATGTGGTTCCAAAATGACGACATTGAAAGAAATTTATCAACCCAGGTCGTGGACGTACGGCGGGAAACGGCCGGAAAGCACAGGAAAGCGCTGGAAAGTGGAAGCAGTATTCCAGTTGGAAGTTACCGGATTTTTTTCCTGTAGATTCCGATCAACTTCCAGATGTAAAACACAGAAAACTGACCGGAAAACACAGGAAACTGACCGGAATCCAC